CGGTTGGAGTATGGCCACCGTATCGACGACAGGAGAACCCACTTACCTCCTACTGTCTGATAGTTAATATTTAGTGAGTACACCTCCCCCGCATCGCCTTATCGCATCCTCGCTGAGTGCGCTCCGCGAGCCTTGCCCTTTCATCAGGACCCCACATGAGAGAGAGGGATTAGCCGTAACCCATGGTATTATGAGCTGAGGGGTTGTAAAAATACTTGGATTTCATAATTAAAGTTTTATAGGTTGTTAAATGTCTGAACTGTCAGAAGGTTTACTTTAACTAGCGTAAGATGTGCCTTTAGGTGTTACATTTCTATACAGGGCCCTGGAGAGTTTACAACCATCGTGGAGAGAAGCTATTGCACGACGTGTCGGTTGCTGAGAGACTTAATTCTGTATAATGTTTCAATTATAAAAATAAGTTTAATTTAATTTATTGTTTATACTAGGCGGCATGAGCCGAGTATTGAATAATAAACTACCAAATGTGGCAACCTAACCCTCACATGAATACTCCCATACAATAGAGCTACGTTTTTGAAATCGCTAATTACTTAGCTAAATTAAAACCTACGAAGTCATTGAGCGCTTAACAACGGTCACGTAAATATCTTTTTTAATCAGTTATTGTGTGGAATTTATTTATTGATCCCTACTTCTCCTAAATAGAATTATCTAAGAGTGTTAGAGCCCTATTATTCTGGGCAACAGTTGGGCGACTGAGTTATGTCACTAGAGAGTTACCTGCGGGCAATTCACGGGCGCTGAGGTACACTAGACCCGCACAGATGATCGAAATGGATGGTTACTCGGTTAGCTTTTTCACAACGAAATTGTGTTGTTTTTTCACATGCGGATTGTATTGTTCTCATAGCAGATTCTACAGAAAACTTAGCAGATAGCGACAAAATGGAATGATGAGCTCCGTAGAAAAGGAATGCTAATCAATACTAAAAAAAGCAAGATTCCTCATGTAGGAAGGATACAGGAAGATGTCGAAATGTTTTATAACGGAGGAAAAATGGAATTTGTCTCGGACTTCGCCTACTTAGATATGGGATGGTCTGGGAAAGTAGATTCAGAAATTCTACACAGGATTAGTAAGGCAAACTCAGTCTACTAATGTGTATATGTAATATGTTATACTGTTATTGGAAAACACGAGGTGGACAAAAACGTAAAACTACACATTAAGTCAGTGTACCTGTCTATACTTCTTTATGGAGCCGAAAGCTGGATACTTGCAGATAAACAGATAAGCACAGTGACAACTGTAGAAATGAAGTTTTCCCGAAGAATCGCGGGAAGAACAAGAAGAGACTTCAGCTGCATTGTTAAGATCAGGGAAGAACTGGTAGTCTTCTCGGTGAGGGAGGTCCTAGAGGCCCGTCAGTTAAACTGGATTGGGCGTGTCGTCAGGATGGAAGAAAACTGACATCCAATGAAAACTATGCCCATGGCGGAAGAAGGGCTATTCCGACCAACGATGTCTTACCTAGAATACGTCGACCGTTTGTGCAAAAGGAAAGATAAAGTTCTTTATCAAGCCAAGAACTTGACAGGAAAGAGAGGACTGTAGTTAAACGCTCCTTAACGCTAATACTCACAAAAGGAAAATAAATATGTTTAATATTTTTGCCTTTACTTGGCCTGGCTTTTTATGTTACTATATATCAATGGTTTATTTTTTTGCGCAGAATAAGAAAAAAAAATATTAGCTATTCCATTGAATAAGTTATAATGTAACATAAATTACAAAAACTAATAGAAAATAAGTTTAAAATATTCGTCCTTACAGCGTTATTTCTACATATTTTTTTTACTTAATCAATGAATATTCATTATATGAATATAATGAATTAATTTTGGACACGAGAAAGGCTTTTCTTTCTAAAAATCTTTTGTTTTTGTGCACATCCCTATCTCATACAGTTTGTCTTTTATGGAATTTTGTCCCCAAAAAGATGCTTTCGTTCCACTTCGTGCGTCGCGATGTAGCAATGTGGAAGCAATTTTTTAGGGAGAAACAAAGTTTTTCGCACCTCAACAAATCCTTAAATACGCATTTTTATAGCAATCGAAACATTAAAATTTTCTGCGGGAAATTTTCGTCTTTGGACTTTCGAAATTTCTTCACCAACCACAAACCTTGTGATAAACTTAGAATGCCTTTGCCGATCAATACGAAAATTAATAAGGAAGTAGGCCTCTATGTGCTACACGAAATTGTATAAACCCGATATTCGTAAACTAATTAAAACTAAAGATATAAAATAAAAATGTGTTCGAAATTTTTCTTAATTTATAGCTTTTAATAAAATGAAATCCAAAAGTTATTGGTGTCAGTAGGAAGAGTAATAATTCAGCGAACCGTTGGGTCATATAATTGCATTTGAAGAGAATCCTGAGAAGTTACGTATGCTTTAATTGACGGCTGGAAAAAAAAAAAAATCATTCATGAAAATCAAGTACTAAAGGTTAGCTATATTTTTTATTTATATAACAATTCGTACTTAAAAGTTTTAAAGGGTCCTAAGAACGAACCTAATTTGCTTTTTTATAAGAAAAATTTACTTGGCGTACTTTCCTGGAAGCATCTTTCAGTATTTGTTTGTAATTTATGACACATTACGCCCTTACTCAGCCTCCGCTGGTTTTTAATACCAGTGAAGTGGTTGAGAGAGAAGCGTAGGTATCTCCTGAATCCTCGCTTTTCCCCCCACTTGTGGAACAAGTCTGGCTCCGAGTACCCATGGCTGATTGTAAATAGGTAAGCCTGCGTCTAAGATGTTTATTTTTATTACTTGTTTTCTAAGAACATTTTAATTCTATTTTATTTATTTATTTTAATTTTATTATCACTAATATTTATATTTTCTTCCTTCATTATGATATTTTATTTTGTTCTTATTTCGCTGTATGTTATTTTGAAATTACCTTATTTATTTTTTGATTTTGTAAATATGGTGTGAATGTGCTCTCTGAACTCTATTATAAATGTCCTTTCTTGAGACAGATTGTAATATTTATCAATAAACAAGTAATCCATTAATGATACATTATAGTTCATTTAATACAATAGTTAATTTTATTTTATTTTGCATAAAAGAATAAAACGATTGATGTATAGTGAACTAAAAATCCGTGCCCAGCAAAGGCAAAAATAAATAACATAAATTTTGTTTGAAATTATATAAATTTCTTTTATCTTGTCTCCTAGGACCCATTGGAAAGAACGCGGGGAACATGTGGAATATGTTTCGATTTAATATCACAAAAAAAAAAATTGATTGAAATCAATGACCCAGAGACTGTACCTCCTCGTTCTTGTAAGTACATTTTTGGTTGATTCAAAGCTGAAGGTACGTATTTGTAAATTTCGGTCTGAGCTATGTGTAGGATAGCTCATTAAGTTAAAGAAAATAATATAAATCCTTTTATATGTAAGAAATAGTTTCAATTAATGCACGAAGTTCTGACTTTACAGAGCAAAAAGTCATGAAGTTACTTAATAAAAATCTTGTTCTTTAAATAAGGTTAAATTCAATTTCTGGTACTTAATGACTTCTTTCCCTGAATTAGTTGATCAGATGGTTTATAAAACTAATTAAGTGAGGTAAGTCTAAGTCACATTCTATGTATTTGCAAGGTTACAAAAGTAAGTGTTTTGTTTAATTATGATAGTTTGCAAAATGTCACTGTGTGTGTTGTAGTTTCAGATTGTGTAACTTTGTTTCATTGTTATGTATAAGATAAATATTTTAATTAATTGTCAGAAATAGAATACATATTTAGAATTGCAAATAATAAACAAATTGTTATTTTAGTATTTTTATAATGAATCAGAAACTTTAATTTTGATTATCTCAAATTCATTAAACTGTTACTTAATCACTTTTTGCAATAAAACGTCAGTATCATTATTGATAATTTTCGTCAACATTAATTAAGTTATCTATACCTTATAAGTTATCTATATACACTCAACTCAATAAATTAAGTTAAAGATTACCTTAAATAATTTTTCAATAAAATTTTGGTCCACAAATCAAATTAATCTGCTATTTACCTTTGTAACTCAAAGAAAATCAAATTTATTAAATATATACCCTCTGTTTCCTCCGATTAGAATTTAAATGTTAGCGGCCAGTGGCAAGATAAACAGAATATAGGTCTAAAACTGACCTCATTTTCAGATATAGAAAATAATGATTCAATTGATGATAAAATAATCATAACCAAGAAAACAAAAGAGGGAATAGTAGCAATTACCAATTTGCCTATATTAATTTTAAAAAATCGTATGATGGCTCATACACCATCTTTTTTGCCTTGGGTTTATTGAAAACAATTTGAATTTCAATAGGTTCATTAAATTAGTGTAGGTAGACTTTTCTTTAGGATCATGTTAAAAAATTAATTTTTTTTTTCAATTTAATATTTTTATTATATCTCATGTTCAGAACAAAATAAATGATTTAGCAATGTATATAAGAAAAAACCTTGATTTAAATACAAAAATAATTTATAATTTTATTTATTTAAATGTACCAACATGAAAATACTTGTCGATAAAAATATATAAATAGGCTGGTGGATAAAAATATATAAATAATAGACAAAGATAAACTATTTATTTTGTCATTTGAACCTTTAAAACTCAAATAAAAATATCATCTTTATCACAGGAAATATCTGAGAGCTCATGCTATAACTACTTTTTACTCAAAGTGTTTCTCATTCACTTGAAGGTCAAGTTAATGAGAGCTGACTCAATGTGCATCCATTGATAAAATAACATTAAAGATCACCTTATATTTGTAAAAACGATAAACATTCAAAATTATTCAGTAAAATAAATGAATTTATTCTAAGTATTATTTCATGGCATAGAAACTGTTCTTTATTAAAAGAATAATGAAATATGTAGGTAAACAGAATTCCACAATAAAAAAAAAAAAAATTAAAATTATACTTAAGTATGTTTGAGAACTAAAAACACTCTATACATATATTTACAAAATACAATGACTGATAGTCTTAAAATCACATAAAAAATCACAAATCAGGTACATTAAAATTCTCATTGACAACAATGAGTGACCAAAATGGCCTTTTACCCAATGGGGTCTGAAACCATAGCTCAACCATGAGTAAATCTGAGGGTGAACTCATCCGTAACTAAATTGAAACTCATATTTTGTTTTTTAATTAAGCTCAAGTATTATGTACAAATACATATTACAAGATCACACTATTGTCTGGAATACATGTATACATTTGTGAATATTTTGTCTATAATATTGGAGATTAAGGAACAAAAAAACAATATGTTAATTTCAACTTACTGTTACATTAGTAATTCCTTGGGATGCCAACTAATCATGGTTAAGCTATAGTTATTGTTGATAGAGCTGAACAATTTTCATATCAATTTACTTCTTCTGATCACAATTTCCAATTAAAGATCTTAGAAAGAAGGAATAGTAGTTTTTGTTTGTAAAACAAGTATAATAAATACTTTTTAAATTATTTCAAAACACGTAATATATTTTTAGTTTGGAATTGACCAAAATAAAAAAGGAAGATTGCTCATAATTAATATTGATTAACATTAGTCAATAATTATACCAAGAAGGGTCATTTCTGTGGCTGTATTATACAAAATGCAATATTTTCTCCATTTTCTTTTTCTTATTAACTTTTGTTTGTAAATGAAATTATTAGAATAAAAAACATTATTATGAAACAAAATATAAAATACTATGAAAGATATTACTTTTCAATTAACTGAGATTCATTTAATTTAGCTAAATTAATTATAAAGTATAAAATATTTTAAAATTCATATCAGTTGACAATAACAAATGGCAGAGAAATGATCCTTATACTTGACAATTAGAATCAATTACAGATCTATAAAAATACAATATTTTAAAAAATGGAGTTATTATAACAAAACTTATTTAAATTAATATCAAACGTTTCGGTTCCATACTTCTATAAAAATATAGTACATTTATATACATTGTCAGAGTTTGTTCAGACCAAGGATATTAGCCTTACAAGTCACGTAGAATATATCAATTTGACTTCCTTGGTATGAGAACTCTTAGTGACTAAAAAAAAATCTTTTCTAAAATATAATATTTATTGGACGGTATGTTTGAGTTTTCTAGTCACACTTAGTCTACGGATGATGGTCCCTAATACTTCAACTCACTAATATTTTTTTAATCTAATATTTACAATAATATTTTACATAATTCATAAAAGTACATACATACTTTTAAATTTTTCACACCAAGTATAAATACAAAACAATGTGTGGTGTGATATTTTACCTAGTCTAGCCATAACTTACACTTTGTCTTAGGATTCATTTTTGATCCAACAGGGCAGTTCCACACTTCTGAAAAGCGTGCTGTATTCTGCAAAACTTTGTTTACCCTCACAAACTGTGGACTGTGTTCATCATACTCTATTGTATCACTCAATGATGAATCTGTGTATTCAGAACACCACATCTGTAAAAACAAAATCAGTTAGTTAAAAGTATAACGGACTTCGTCCCAGAATAAAATTATTTTTCTATTCTATTCTATTCTATAACAATACAAAACACAAAGTATAAAATTATTAGATTTTAATTATGCTAAACACAACACATTTTAAATTTAATTTCAGAAATTCTAAAGATTTAAACCTACAATAAATAATACATAAATAAATAAAAATAGATGGTTTTTGGAAATTTAATAAATTTTGAAAAGAAAATTGGAGGAAATAATACCGGGCATATCATTTTCATATGAAATATCACATCAGTGTCTTTTTATTGATTTTTTTTATTTATTAAATAGTCATAATAAAGATACATTAATATAAAGTGTGGTTAGGAAAATAGTTAAGTCAATTTCAGAATGATAGAAGGTTGAGATAAAATCTAGACCTAAATTAATTTGTAATCTGTAGTATAAAGTTACATAATACAAGCACGATAATGAAAGTCAATTATATAAAGTCTTATGTGAAGTCAAATGTAACAAAAAGGCAGTAATATTTTTTTATTTACACACTATTTTTAATTTATACAACATACTTGAGCAAAACTAAGAAAAAATAGCTGGTTGCTAGAGAACTCTTCTAATCCGGGAAGGCCAAGTTCTTTTAGATTATTTTCCTTGGTATACATCTGGTAAGCATTGAAGGCATTTCTAAGTCCACCATCATCAGCCAGATTTTCAGAAAGTGTATTATTACCGTTCACCTAAAAACAAATTTATTACTCTCTATATAAATATTAATGATAGGATAAAACTAACAGTTGTAGTAATTAATAAATAAATAATAACACAGGTTAAGAAAAATATCTATTTTTTCTATTTCAATCTTTGATCATATAGTTAAAAAGAAGAACATTAACTATAGTACAAGTCATTTCAAACTTTAGTCAATTCATTTTTTTAGAATTACACTACGGTGACTAAGAAAAAGATTAGTCAAAGTAGTGCCACAGGAAATCTCCTGAATATCAGTAAGGAAATAGATATCTGTCGGTGAAGGTAACTTAATTTTATCTCTTAATGTTTATCTGTAGATCACAAAGTGATCAATAGAATGAATGAAAAAATAATAACTCATAGAGCTACTAACCAACTGAATAACTGAATTCTATACTTTGTGATTCCAAGGAATAGTGCTAAATAATGATTGAATGTAAATTCTTTCACTAACAGTTTGTTGAATTGAAATTTCTGGATTATAAGTATCACACTTATAAAATTTGGGAAATATAAAAATCTTATTTATGTAACCACTTCAGAGAAAAAGGGACCACATCCCTGATTTCTTTCTGGGCCTCAATATGTCTTGATATGTCACTGGTTTTAAACTGACTTACTTAATCCAAAATAATAACTAGAGATGGGTTATGACAGCCAATAGTGTCACATACCTCGAACAAGAGAGAACAAAACGATCACTACTGTCGCCTATAACAACCTCAAGCTGCTGAAGAAGACTCATGAATTAAAAAGTCGAAGTCAACAGGTTTAGGAGAAAAAAAAACCTGTGTATCATATTGATTATTTTTATAATATTATATTACAAAAATAATATTAGACCAGAAAGTTTTTGGAATATTTCTTAGGAACAGCATAATATGGTCCATCAGAAAATACAAATTTGCATAATGATCATTCTGGTACACTATGCTGATTAGTGAAACATCTGACTCAATCTGATGGGAGGTTAAATGAAAAAGTAATTAATATTCCATCTAAAATGTAACCTATAAATAAATTTCAAAGAAAATTGTTTTGATTGACACTTACTGTTTCATTTATTGAAGGTAAATAATAATTACTGTATTGATTAACAAAGCATTCTGTGCGTTTATCAAACTCTAATGAAGACTTATTACTCCACCATAGATTCAAATTGCCATTTAAATCAAACTTTCGACCTGCAAAAAATAATGCATAAGATCATTATTGAAATAAACTTAAAACATCGAAATAAATTATATAGTATAATATGCATGAAATAATAATCTTACCAAAGCTATCCAACGAATGTGTCATTTCATGGCCCAATATTGAACCTATAGCCCCATAATTTAATGACCTGAAACAGGAAAATAAAATCTTTATCATATAAATTTCATGAAAAATTTAAAATTCAGATACTTACAGACATTGGCAAAAAATGTTATCACTATTAATTTCAAAATGGTAATAATCAAGAACTAGATCTTAAAAAAGTTAGGCTCAGTTTTCAAGTACCCCTCTGCTGATTAGGGGTAAAGGAGAAACATGTTCTATAAAGAAATACCCGGAAGAAATAATATGAAATTATGCCTGGCTAGTAAACATACTAACATATCTGTCAACATGGTGGCAATCAAATATTTTCTTTTATTATGAGCTGCTTAAAATTTTAAATGTGGCTAATTTTATATAATGTTAAATTAACTCAAACATGAAGTAGCCAATATCACAAATACCACAATTAAGAACTTCAATATACTCACTCAAGTCCTAAATTATAAAATGGAAACTGCATTATAGCAGCTGGAACACCTATAGAAAAATAAAAGCATGTTACTAAGTTGATTGTAAATGTATCTACTACTACAGACTAAATGAGAGATACTTACTGATTGCATTACCACTGGGGTCATAATAAGCATTTATATCCAAAGGGTTGAATTGGGGTCTGTAACAATATATCATTAAAACTAATTAGTGTTGTTTTTGTTAAAACCACAGTAATATTAAGAATATATGTAAATATATATATATATATATATACTTTTTTTTTTTTTTTTTTTTTTTTTTTTTTTTTTTTTTTTTTTTTTTTTTTTTTTTTTTTTTTTTTTTGTTCAAATATACTCACTTAAATGCATATATATATGCATTTAAGTGAGTATATTTGATCAAAAATTGTAAGAAGGCTATTCAAGGGAAGAGCTTATCCAACACTATTTCTAAATTTAATTGTGTGTTTGTTCAAAAAGGAAATATACCAGTGCATTTCATCATTAACATGATGCCAACCCTTTCTATATTGTAAAATTAATTTTTATGATATTGGTCACTTAACTGTTAAATAGTTTTAGCTCATACTTTGGGGATGAGCTGGCCAAGCACTTAGGTTGTGGGTCTCCGAGTGTTTGGTTGTGATAGTTGTGGGTTCAATTTCCACCTGGGTTAACTAATATTTATTTCTTTGGGGCTCTGAAAATTGAATCTTGATCTTCTCACCTTGGTAAGTACGGGATGACAGCCTCAAGATAGGCAGAGGTTCGCGAAAAGGACTATAAGACCCACTTGCCAGAGGAGGTCCTAACGGCAGTAGGATTACCAGTATTTGGACCACTACTTTAGAACATTACCAGTACTTAAGATCAAAGATTCCTATGGTTATATTGCACATTTGAAATGAAAGGGGAGCAACTGGAAAAGTAGCTGATAAAATATAAACAGGCAAAGTTCTAGTAACTCCTAGAGGTTGCTCAGTTGCTAATAGATTATCTGTTGGGCTTATAGTTTTGACAAGCATTTCGGGACTGATCCAGAGATTGTAGGGTTGAATGATAAGAGTATATCATCAATTGTTGGGATTAGATTATAGAGGTCCAACTACTAGAATTTTGAGTTGTACTTCATTCAATCTTGACATGCTATACAGTTCATATAGAAAGGCACAAGTGATATTATTTTATAAACATAATTGTGGGTAAATGGTTGACTGTCGTGAATAGTGAAGAGAAAAATAGTTGGGGTGATCAGTCAAATAAGAAGGCAAAAATAAATGATAATATTTATTAATGTCAAAATAAATATTATCATTTATTTTTGCCTTCTTATTTGACTGATCACTCCAACTATTCTTCTCTTCATTATTTTAAAAACATTTTAGAAATGCATTATTTTCTAATTTATTTTTTTAAATAATGTTATGTATTTGACTTGGTAGGCTATGGTACATTAATAAAATTCAGTACAAATTAAATAGAGAATACATATTGATAGCTTCTTTGTAATGGGTCTTAACTGATGAACGTGGGTAGACTTCTTTTCTAGATTATTATAACATTAATAGTTTTTGAAATTTGTTAATAATACTTACATTGACTTGTCATTCCCAGTTCGCAGAGTGTCCAGTGTCTGAGATATTTCGACATCTAATATTTGCAACAAGTTGTCGAGAAATGTTGTTGCATTCATTGTAATCTGGAATGAATAAAAATAATGAAAATAATGAAAAGAATAAAAAAAGAAATGAAAAAATTAAATAAATTTAATATTTCATTAATTATTTTTTCAATATATGCTAATATATTAATATATAAAATATTTCAAACTATGCAAAGGCTCATTTAGACTGGACTAGTTTATAAGGTAATAAGCAGCTTCTAAAGTAGCATGGCCATTGAATTCTCTCTCAGATTTTTAAGTTACCATGTTAGCTAGTTATTATGATTACACTGGGTGAGTTTACAACATGCTTGTTAATTGTCAGGCTTGAAACTCTTACAGAGTAAATGGTATTTAAGCAAACATATCATCTCTTTCAAATATTTTAATCAAAATAGTAGCAATATTTCCTCTGTTATTGAGTTTAATATTTCTAGCAACATGTTGCGAAGTGTTTTAGCATTTATAAAATTGATTAAATTTTACAATTAATTTGTTTCTAGGTAATCATAAAAATTGACTAAACTCGTTTTATTTGAAAGTGTAGTTTATTTTATTTGTTATTAAAATTCAATCACGGTTCGCATCACATTTATTTCTTTACAATACTAAATGAATTTATAAACAAAATATCTTTCTCTTGGCTTCAGTTTCGTCTTAGTATTCATTGTTTTGTTCCAGAGGTACAACGCAACCTATTATAACTAGCATGAAAATTTCAAAATTCCTTCCATGGATATGCCATAAAATAAATTTCAACTAATACAATTAGAATCGAGAATAATAATATGGGCAATACATTAACATGCTTGGCCCTGTGGCCTCCACATTCACCTTGCTGTACGATCTTTCAACGATTTGGCTACCATCTCTCTCAACCTTCTGGATCCAAAGGGGAGGAGCAATACACTTCCACTTATTCAAAGGAAAATTTTATTTTTGGAATAATTTTATACAATAACCTCTCCATTTTTATCTTTAAAATGTAAGATTTTTTACATAATGATATAAGTAGTTAATTTATACTTTTAAACTCATTCCCCTTAAGGGAAACGTGAAAGAATCCCAGCTGAGCCAGAGAAATAGTTTAATAATGTTACTAATCCTAAGTAACGTTTCACATCATTGACTTTGGTTTGGATTATTCCTAAAACAGTAAGATTCCTGCCTTCACTGGCCTGAATAATGGTTATATGAGAGAGCTTTCTTAAAAGTTTTTTTGTTTTTTTTCAATCCAGACAATATATGAATCCGCCCATGCTTCCAATCAAGGGCTCCACCATCTCCAAGGTGAAGTCCCAGAATTCTTAGATTCAATACCTAAGGACGGTGTTGTGAATGGATCGAATAGCCCGAAGATGGAATAAAACCAGAGGTCACAACATAAACTTTGGAAATGAAAATTGTATTAAAATAATAATTTAGTATCCATATCTTTAACTAATTATTTATGTCTCCTCCCATTACATAAATTAGATTGAATTTCTTCTTGAATGTAATTATCAGAAGAAAACAACAATGTTTTACAAAAGAAAACCTGTAATTATTTTGGTTTCAGATTTATTTTTATCTTAATAGGTCAGTGTATTTTTTTTTCTTCTCACAAAATGAATTTTATATAATAATTAAGTACCTAACAATACTTACATTTTCATAACGAGAATCTAGTTCATCTTTGTCCAGCATCCAATTTGGTATTCCAATAAACTTCTTTATTGCTAAAACTTTTTCAACTGTTGCAATTTTTGTTTTGTCATCCATCCATGTGAGATCATTAATGTAAGTAATAAAAGAATCTTGAATATAGGATATGATATCTGCAACCTTTAAGAAAAATTTTATTTTGAACTATTTTGAAATAAATATAAATAACTATAATGAAATTTATTTTAATAAATAAAATAAAATTCTATTTAAAAAATATATAAATAAATGAATGTAAAGAACTGATCAATAATATAAATTTTCTGAATGATATATACACACCTTATTAATTAAGTCAAAATCTATTGTATCCACTGCTGAGTACCCGACTGCAGCATCCATGAAGTTATACACAATTCTTGCACATTCCGTTGACCTAGAAGTGTATTTTGAATTAACTATTTTTAGTGTTCTTCATCAATACTTATATTATTTGTTTTTATATTCTTTTCTTAATAGTTGTGTTATTCGCAATAATTGTGTTAATTTGTGTCCATAATGTGTACTTCATAACCCTACACAACATCATTAATAATAATAACTATAATCTGATAATTTATTCCAACTATTTTTAATTACAGTTGAAAATTTGAATACTCATTGTTGAAGGATAATTCTGTACTTCTAGTAAATAAGAGATTAACTTGGTTGATAAGGAAAGTGAGTTTAGTCCCATTATTATGTTGTAAAATCAGGCTTAAACATCATGTATAAATGATTAATTCAATAATAAAAGAAGTGAAGAGATACTTCAGGGAAGGACACATTTTGGTCCAGACTAGCCTATAAGATTTTAATTTTTAATTTCTAACTTAAGAAAATAAAGGAGGATGCTAGGTGCTATTGGATATTTTGGTTTATGGAATTTCATGTGATCTAGGTGTACCATTATTTAGAGATAAGTGCTAAAAATGTCTTTTTGTATTTATCAATAGATCAATAGATATAAAAGTGAATGGTTAGCCTGCATAGCAGGTACAAGAGCTTATTGATTAATTTGATTATATTTTTGAATGCTCGTGCAGTGTTCAACTACATAGGCTAGAGGTACCTTACTGGAATTTCAACTTTTGTTAAAGTTCTTAAAGGTCACTTAAAAACGACTATAAATTTTTTTGATTTTTCGAGGTACAAACTAGCTACTCACCTTTCCAACTATCTACCAATATCCGATTCTTACACAGTACCAAAGCTATTCAATTTGACTGCAAAACTATTACCTCTTTGGACAAATAGTAAAGCATGTTTTAATTTCTCCTTAAAAAATGCAACAAGATTAAATAACCCACCAGGAGTAACAAAACAATGCTTCTTAGCTTTTCTAAATACATTCACATGCGCCAATACCGATAAGTCAAAAAATGCGGATTTGGTGCTCTGTAGTTCTACAAACACTTAGCATGTCTTTAAAATTAATTTTCAAAAAAGTGTACTTGTAAGAGTTTGTTGAATTCTTACCTGGATTCTGCTTGATTATGAGGAACTATTTTTGACACATACGTGTCTTTTAGAGTTTTCAGTTCTTCATTAACATGAGGAGAAAGCATATAGACCACCTCCCACCAAATGAGCAATTCTAAAAATTATTAAAAAATGTTTATTCAAAAAACAAAAAAAAATGAAAAGCTATAGTTGAAACTTTTTTTCTTAAGTTGGTATTCAAATAAATTAATGACTATAGCCTTCGACAGTAACTTTGAATTTTTGAAATGTACAGGATATCCTGTAAGTAAAGGTAAATATTTAAAGAGGTGATAAGCAGACCTTAATTGATTAAAAAAATTTTATATAAACAATGGTCTCATTTTCCAAAGAAAAGTAGGAAATTTATGTTTTGTGTGTTTTCAAGGGTCACATATTTTGTTAAATAGGAATCAATACAAAAAAAAAAAAAAATATTACATTTAAGTAATTAATAATCGTTTCAAAGTAAACCAGAAATTAAATCTTTGCAATAATACTTTATAGTAAGTTTTTCTGAAAACAGGTAGTTTTGGGTGCCAGGATATCAAATCACATACTTTTTTTTAAACAGGTGGGTTTGAATTACAATTCATTACCTTATAAACCTCAACTTAATTCAGATGGATTGAACGAGGATCTTTTTTCTAAAAATGGAGTACCTCTAAGTGTAGTTTGAGGGTGATAAAAAAAGCACAGATAATTTATGATTTTTTTTTTTTTAAACAAAACTTAACTTAAGTAAGGATATGGTCCAGGGTAGAGGTCATAAATAGACTAAATAGTGGCAAAACTGTTTTATTAAAAGCCAACGTTTCGACCCGACTTTGCAGGTCTCCATTAGGGAGGTGTGTTCAGCGAGGAGTTCTATGTGAAATTTTTGAGTTCTAAGTGAAACTCCTCGTTGGACACACCTCCCTGAAGACACACCTACTAGGAAAAGTTTGTGTCAAATGCATTGCACAAGACAAACTTTGGGGTTTAAAATATTTTAAAGTTACATTTTTGTTCCCACAATGAAATAACTTTTCGGTTTGAATTTGTTATTCTGAATTGCATTGTTTTCTGTTAAATAATACGTAAGACTTGTAAATTAAATGAAACATATGATTGGGATCCGTATATAATTATTCATATACTTGGAGATTATCTTATGAAAAATCATGAAATGTACTCTTAGAATAAAAAAAATTATTACCAAGATCTTTTTCGTCATAATCGTCCAACATTGATGACAATAATTCAAAATAACTTTTCTTATAAACTAGAACATAATCTTCTTCAAAATTTAAGGCGGTATCAAGATCATCATACAAATATTTGAAGTAGTTTTTCCAATTAATCTGAAATTACAGTGTTTGTGGTAAATTAATTGTCTTACTTAATTTTTAAAAGATAGAAGAATGAACAATTATGTTAAAGTCAAAATAACTTGTTTCACACTGGAATTAAAAAAAACAAAAAAAAAACCAATATTAAATTCTAAATCAATTACCTTAGACTGGCCATTGGTCGACACCATATCAACAAACGATTGAACCTCATTGAATGACATTTCATCTGGAATATCATTTATGATAGGTCCTGTTACATTTTCTGATGATTCAATCTAAAAAATAAACTAGATTTGTAAAAGCTGTTTTCGTTTAAAGGATTTACAATAAATTCATGAATTTCGGCTAGATGAATCTTTGTATAAAAAAATAAAGAACTTTGGACTGCTCTCATTGGATTAAATTGCTTCTTTCATATTCAAATAGTTAATCAGACATCCTTGTGAGAATAAGTTTAATGAACTTAATGAAGCAATGTATAATTGAAAGGAATAGGTGGGTATAATTTGGAAAGAAATTATACATCATACACTTGATTGTTACTTAACTTGTATTTATCATTAAACTAATATATTTCATTTATGGTAAATGCATATATAATTTATGTTGGAGTGAGAAAAATATATATATTATCTATTTTTTTTATAATAGTCTTTCAGAGAATGAAGTTATATTTTATGTTATTGATAGTTGGCTTGTTTGTCAGATATTGACCAATGAATATTGGCTTTTAATTCATGAGATACTCACAGAATACTAAGAATAATCAGAATACTATGCACTTTTATTAGTTAAAGAAAAGGTTTTGGCAGTGAACAATAAGATTTCAAAATTAAATTATAATTTTTTCACGAATGAATATCAATTAAAATAATCGCCATTTGTAGTAAAATATAAAAAAATAATTTATAAACTCTATGCTCACCAAATATCCTTCATTCAAATTTCTGGATTCTTGTAGTAATTTCTGGAAAATTTTCAACCCTCTTAAAGGGAGGGATATTACTGAGAGATCTCACTGAGAGTGATATTGCTCGAATCTCATCCAAAATGCTTTATTTAAAGACTTGAATAGTTCTGGGCATTTTCCTTCTTTGACGTTTATTATTATTATTATTATTATTATTTATTGTTTATTATATGGTGGTACAGTGGTACCTAAAAACAAAAGTTTTTGAGATTGATCCACTCGAATCATCAAAGACTCAAACAATAAATTCAGGATGAGACTGAAGCAATACTCATCAATAAGCAGTATATGGCTATACAAAACTTCTAGATACAAATCCTCTAAATTTAAATTGAGCATATTTGGCAAAAGCTGTGTTTAATTATTTTTTTATTCCGAATGGATATTCTTTAACATAATATTTATTTAGGACAAATTAATTCTTTAATTTAAAAGTTCTATTGTTATTTAACAATTTTTTTTTATAAACTTGTTATGAAGTAAAATTTTGAAGTTAGGACTGTTTCGCTTATAAAAACGTATCACTATTCCTTGAACTCATTTAAAAAAAATAAAATAAATAAACCTCCAGAGAAAAATTGGTTTCCAACAATTTAATGGTTTATTATTCATTCTCTATTATCTATATTGATAAGACCAATATTTGTAGTTTCTCTGAAATATTTAAAATCAGTTTATCTTTCTTTATAAGAATTTGTTTTTTACCTCTGAAATATTTCCTTTCATTGTGATAATTTTAATGCTCGCTTGAGTCAATACTTCATTCATATTCGGTACTGTGACATTCGCATATTTTGCTAAATATGCCATAAGCTGTGTTGAGTATTTCTTCCAATTCTGTACTACCTCCAAATCTCCCTTTTCCAATCTTCTTTTAAAGAATTTTTCATATGAGGTCTCTACCAACTTTCTCCTGTTTTTAACAATATTTTTTTTTAATGTTCAAAATAATACACCTTTAGTAAAATAATATATATTAAATGTTACCTCAGGAATTTATCTGATTCTTCAACTGTGGCTATTGCTAATTGGTTAGTTGTACTGTTTTTCAGCGATGTTGTAACACCAGAGCCTATTAAAACTTCTAGATCCAAAAATCTTTTGGCTTTAGCCAAGCTTTTAATCCATGATTGTTTTGGTTTTTTATTCATGAATGGGACTTTGGGTAATCCTATATTTTCTAAAATTCTCCACAATGTTTCTATTCCATGTTTATCCATTGACTCTATAATAGCAAAACTATAATTCATCTAATTGTAAATAATTCACTAATATCATGAATATTGGTGTATACTACACCTTCTTATTTGACCTCTCATTTATCTTTCGTTTGTTTCTATTGAATTTTTCCAGAAACCTTGAATTTTTATTAAAAACTATTTTCTATAAATTGAATAGAATATCCTTACTTAAATTAAATCTGTTTATATTTAGATGATATGATAAAAAATATAATAAGAATAAATAATAATAATAAAAACAAAACTAAATAAATATAAACACTTTAGCAACTTTTAAAAGTTAAACCGATACGTTTAAAACGAAGGTTCCTTGAAATAAATTGATATAGAATTTAAATCTACAAAAAAAATCACAATTTTCTATCCTTGTCATACTAAAAACAATTGCAATTATTCTTTAGAACTAATAATGTATCAATAATAATCTTTAGGACATTACATATACCTATCAAATTTCAATATCAATATCAAATTTTAAGCATTAAATAAATTTTTCTAATTCTATCTATTTATGTCTTATATTTTGTGACTTTTCATTCAATACATTTTATACAATATACAGATTTTTTTAAAATAGAAAGTCCATAAAAATTAAAAAAAGTTTATTTGGTGCAACTTTCCTTCGTATTGAATATTTTCAAAGGCATCTTCAAATCCGTTATGTGGTAGTTTAACCGTTAAACTACCACATAACGGTACCCACAGTTAGTGGGGGGAGAGGTGAGGGGACAATCGCCTCCCCCCCCCCCAGTTTCACTCCCTCAGTAATTTGAGGTAAAAAAAATTCAAATCAATAATAAATAAGTTAAATGAATGAATAAAATTAAAGCAGAAGAAGTAATAAATAAAAAAAAAACTAACATAAAACTTTTCTTTTTTTAAGGTATGGAAATGAATTCTTACCAAAGTCAAAACAGGCATCAAACAAAATCCTTGCTTCATGAACACACCTTGGTTCATCATCGGAATCTTCACGTTCTAAGAATTCTGTGGAAGTTGGTATATTAGAAATATTTTATTATAATTAGATCAATTTCTGTAAGCCAAAAAATTATTCATATCATATTAAATATTTTGGTATATATTTTACCTAGCATATCTCTTTTTATAATCTTATTTCTTTCTTCGAACCAGTTGTTCAAAAATCTTGGTTCTGACATGACATGCTCAACTCTCCAATTATCACAGGCAAATTTATAAAAATTATCACAGGGATCAGCAGTCAGATTCATTGACTGCAACAAATTAGATGCTGAAAGAAAATAATGAATTAAAATTTATGAAGCCTTGTGCAATACTGCTTGCAATTATATTAGGTTCAATGGTTTATCTCACCTGAATGAATACATTCTGGAGAAGTGCACATAGCTAGTGTCTTCCCTTTTTTCAAAGCTAATCAAAGAATAATTGTTTATTAAATTATTGAGTTTTAAGAATTTTAAATTTTTATATATAGATGTTTATTTTACCTAAAATGACTGTCACACTAAATAGTAGTATTGTTATTATTAAACCAAGTGTTATTAAAATGTAGTCCCTCCATTTTTTTGGTATCCTTTCAAAGCTGAAATATTAAAATTAGAAATAATTTTATATCAATAATGATTGATGAGTAATTATTAATTTTTTTAAATTTTTTTTTTAAATAATTGTATAAGAGTGGATTTTTTTTCTTTTCTTTTTTAATTTTTTAAACCGATGTAATCATATGTTTCTGTATTAGTGAATTGAATGTTTTTTTTGTATTTAGCACATTTGGTGAATATAATACTTATGCATTTTAAAAATTAAATTTCTGTTTTAATTTGTAATATTTATTAATTCAATACTACAGTCTTAAAATGTGTTTATATTAGTTTTTATGATTAATAAATATATTCTTACATGTTCTGTTTTGAAGCATGTATTAAGTGCTCTTGACTCTCGATCGGCCATACTTCTGATCTTCTGCTTGGGGGATTACCTGATGGGAAAAGAAACAAATTATTTAAATTATTAAATTGATTTTTAGACAGTTACTTATTAATATGATTCATCCATTTTATGCACCATTGGTTTGATTCGCCCTGCTGACTTCCATTCCAGGCTGTAGTGTTTCTGTGAAATAAAAAAAAAAAGAAGTTGCTTATACTATTTTATCCACTTGATATAATGATTTATTTTAGACTTCAGCAAAGTGACTTATAAATTCAGTGATATTCATCACTTATGGAAATTTATTAATAATATGACCACAATTTTAATATAAAATTGAAACATTTACCAATAATAGAATTGGCCTTTATTAAGCATTTTAATTTTTAAAAATTAAAAAGAAATGCACATATTTTTAGGTTGACCTGTCAAAACATATATATCTATATATGTATGTGTGTGTGCGTGCATGTGTGTGTGTGTGTGTGTGTGTGTGTGTGTGTTTTATACTTTTTTTGTTAAAATTTGGAAGTCCTAAGGCATATTAAAAATTATGTTTACAAGTTTTATTATTTAAAAATGCTAAAAACCATTACATAATGGCTTATTATTTTTGAAATGGTTATATATAAAAAATATCAAGTGTGTCCATTCACACAACTTTGAATGAACGTCTAATAAAAAAAAAGATTTTTATATGTTCACCAATTTTTTTTTTAAATCAAATTTTTGATTCAAAACACCCCTTGTTTTCTTCCTAGTTCACTTAATAAAAAAAAAGAAAACACTATTATGTAAATAATATGTTCCAATATTACACACTATATCCATACATATTATTCCAATATTACTCATGTACTGAATTATTGATCTTCTTCAATTGGAAGTTATTTTTTAATCATGCAATGTACAACTTTGAATGAGGTTTGTTGTTTGTTGGAGATTTAAATATCTTACATTTTTGAAATTATTCTTTGTAATAATGGAATTCAATAATTGACCTCCATGCATAGTCTTAAGTGTGGTCATAATTAACTTTGTTATTTAGTATATAAATTACATGTCATTTGGAAATACCCAACCAGCCTTACCAATTATTTATTTATTGATTTATTTAATCTTGATTTTATTTTGTAGTTGTAATTCTCCTATGGAAAAACTTTATATTATGTGGATAAAAATTGCTTATAAATATCCTTGATTACTTCTAATGTTTTTAATTTATTTGTTAAATGTATTTATTTTTTAATGACATTTTTACAATATCAAGAATTTGATTTTTTGGGAGATTTAAATAACAGTTTAATATTTAATCAATAAACTGTTCTTGATTTGTCAAAGGTCTGTTGTTGATAGTGCCTCACCATGTCAGGGTTCTGAAACCTACATTTTATGAAGGGTTGCTTTTTTTTACTTATTTTTTTTAATATTCAAAGATTTTTTTTTGTCAAGAACAGTGAGAAATACATTTCCAATGCAGAAGCTCCATAATGTTTCCTGATTAAAATTTAATTAATGTATGTTAGCTAATAAGCATAATTACATCCCAAGTAAAAATAAAAACATTTTTTCCCTAAAAGCATTATTGCTCTTGCCATTATTATTAAAAAGATATTTTAGCTCCAAACATTGAATCCGGAATCTGCTGTGAGAAATATGGGTTCAATGTAGGCACAGCCTTAGACCAGTGGAAACAGGATATGGTCATAAATTTGTATAAATTTGTATAAATAAATGAATATATTATAACATCTAGAATTTTAATTTTGTATTAAATATGGATGAGGTATAAGTAATTTTTAAGTAAGTCTAGGGAATATATATTTCTAATCAAATTTTGGTAGTAAGTAAAAGTTGTGTTATGCACACACTGTACCAAATTTTCTCTTTTGTTGCCTAGTTTAAAAGTTTCCCCAAATTCAAAACTCTCAAATATAGGTTCTTGAGTCAGATTGTTTTGATTACAGCTCCTTCTAGGCACTGTTCCTACCAGAGTTCCCTTAGGATCGAATGAGTTGCAATTTAGTATGTAAGATATAGTAGTCTTCTGGACAGAACAATAATATAAAAATTTGGGTAAATTTCATCAGAATTTCGAAGCAATTTATATGATGTATAAAAACAGCATAGAAAAAACAAATTCTGCAGCAAAATTGATTTTAAAATCTATTAAATTTTCTAAGGTTAGCATTAACTTAAACTACTTTTCATCTGTTTTCAAAATAGAAATACATTTTTTTTTTTAAGTTTAGAACTGCATTAAAAATACTCTCTTTCTTTAATTATCTATATTTTTATTGCTATATTTTTCTGATTATAGTTAGACATAAAAAATGGATGAAATACAATGACTTAATTATAAGTCATCTTATTTCATCCATTTTTTTTTCCATTAGATATGATTTTCATGACAAGAGCTTTTTAATTAAAAAGTGAACTCATCTTTGTATTAAATGCTTGTAGCTTATTTATTACCATTATTTTATTCAATCCACTATTGGATTAATTTGATGTTATTATATAATTCAAAAAACTTTTCCGAGGAGCAAAAACATTTATTTAAATTCCTTGACGATAGCTGATAAGGACTGTGTACCTTAGGTATAGTTCCATTGTTGATTTTTTGGTGATATAAACTTCTCTTTAATGCTAATTCAACATAAAAATTCATTTTTCAATAAGAAGCATTTTAATGGAAGTAAGTTTCATGCATTTATTTTACAATGCTCTTTTCTGGATCTTTGTTTTAATGAACTAAAAAAAAAAATAGAAGTTTTTTGTAGTTTTAAAAGGTATAGTAAAATCTTCTTTAGAGCTCTTAAGTCACCTCCTTAGAATAGAATATGGGACTGTCTATTATGTGGGTTATTGAAATTGTGAGATTTTGGTGTGTGGGACGAATTCATCATCCGCCTTTTACCAAGGTGCAATGGTAAAAGAAAATTGATTTTAGCTTTAGCCCAGTATGTTTAGTGAATTTGAGGCTTACTGGTCCTATAGGTCTAGTTATTTGATTTATTATCTTTAAATCATGCACTAACTATTTAAAACTAAAAACATGAGTGAGTAGGCATTGACTTTGGGAAAGGAGGGAGAAGGGTGTGATTACCCCTCTTTCCAATAAAAATAGAGAGGGTCAAGAATATTGTTTCGCCCCTCCCCCCAATATTTAGAAGTTAAAAATATAATCAAAATCAAGAACAAAATATGTAAACTAAAATCAATTAAGAAACTTAGAAAAGTCCACTAGATGGCTATGTTGAGGCTTAGTAGTATGGACCCAAGTATTTTACCACATATCAACATATCCTAGGATTTTATGATTCATTTATAAAGAAGCAGGAGAGCCTATACCTCAGAAGGTGGATGGCCCTAGAACCCACCTACCCCCCTCCTCCAAAGATATTTGATTGCTCTCCTTTTCTTAAAAACAGAAGAAGCTAAGGTAGAATTAGAAAAATCATAGATCATAGATAGATAGATATAGAATTACACTTTCTGCGGTCTGTTATGTTTCCTTCTTGCCCCTTAGTCCGAAAATCCATTGCCCCGTCGAAATTTGTATCCCTCAAAAACCCGTCAAAATATGCCCCCCTCAAAAATTTTTATGGCGCAACTTGCGCCATGAAACCCCCTTCTGGGCAACCCTTTGTGGAACCTTCCATTTTTATGTGAGGATTTTATCACAAATCACACTGCAAATTTGAAGCTTGGGAGAATTGAGAGTCCATCTTACTGCTTCGAACCTTTATATATTTTATATAAAAATAAAATACTCATTACAAATATACTCATACGCAAAATAAAAAAAAAATAAAGAAATCTATGAACACATATATGAGTTTATTATTATATATTATGGCATTGTTCATTTCACAATAACTATGCTAATTATCACTCATAATTTTTATACATAATATAAACTCCAGAGACTTTTTTGGGGATCCATCCACTCCCTTCCCCCAACCAGAATGGAAATTCTCCACCTATGATCACATGCACTTTACTATGCACATCACATGGCTATGACAGTTTGCTAAATCAATTTTATGTACTAGCAAATGTCAGTAAAAATTGGCTCAATGGTTTTTTTAATATCTAGTATGATTTGAACCAAATAATAAAACATTTTCCTGCGATTAACTACATAAAAAAGGTTAATTTGATGTTATTATGTGTAGATGCTGAAGCTATTAAGGTAAGTACTACAACGCTTAAGAATACTTGTAAACAGTTTGGACACGAAAGAAAAATGGATTAGCGGCATTGATTTTGGTGATCGCGATATTACGTGCTAAAAAGTTTGAATTATTTACAGGCAAACTGTATATTTTTTCATCGTTATTCGATTATAAGTATCTTGAAACGTAAAATCTAATTTTACTTTAAATTTAAAGGGTTGATCAATATTTTTTTTCTAAATGCATTACGAAGATTATTTAATAAAAAAAATTCAATTGAAAAAAAAACTACTCGTTTTGATATCTTTATGTTAGATTTGTCTTAAACTGAGTACTTTATTTTATAAATCCTAACTAGTCTTATTATCGTTAGCATCTTATTTTTCCTATTATAATTATCAATTGTTATTTCATTAAATATTAAATAACACATAAAATGAATCTCATAAAAACAAATTAATATACATTATGCAGTGATCCAATAACAATTATATGTTTTATGGCAGTGCAGGGGTGCTCAAAAGGGGGTTTCATGGTACAAGTTGCGTCATGAAAAGTTTTAAGGGGATCATTTTTCGACGGGGTTATGAGTTATCAGAATGAAAAGTTTCAAATCAGGAGACAAGTGGGAAACATTAAACAGGCCAGAACAAGTATAATTGTAAGTGATTTATGATATTTTAAATTCCATTTTCGCTTCCAATGTTTTTAAGAAAAGGAAAGAAAAAAAAATTTTGGGTAGAGGGAGGAAGAGCGGAGGTAGTCTAAACTCAGTGGCAGTGAAAATTATGATTATAAAAATAAACTTTAAACTATAACTTCTTCACCAGGAATATTAAGTTCTTTTTAAAGGAATTTTTTATCTTCCTTCTCATATTTCATAAATAACGTCTATTTCGATGGTTTCATTTGAATTATTTTACTGTTAGACATTTGCATTGTAATCTATAGAAGGATAATTTTGTTTGTTGATGCAAGACCAATGTCCTTTCAGTGAATGAGTTCGAAGATAAATGAATCATCTTTCAAATCTTGGGGCATGGTTTGACAATGACCTTTTCTCTGCCCTGAAAGCTGAGATGAATCAGTTATCAGGAACTATTGCGATATCTTTCCCTTTTGCCTAAGGAATAAAAATGGGTCATTTTTTAATTTTGGTCTAAAAATATTATTTATGATATTAATATTGACGATTTCACCAATATAATTGTATTTCTTTATTTTTATTCTCTCCACCGAATGGTTAATCGAAGAAGGAGAAGACAAAAAATGCTTACTTCTACCGCTGAAATTAGTCTTAAATGTTCTATTTTGTGTGGCAAAATATCTCGTTAATCATATTTCTCGGTCCTCGAGCATGTTTTATTATGTCAATACATAAATATGATAGATTGTTTATGATTTCTTAAATGACTAATTTTGAACTTTTACAAATTTCATTTATATTTTATTCAAAATAATTCAAATAATTTGTAAATTATAGGATTTCAAATTTCCTACTCTATGATCAGGGGTGTGGCATAATGACCATCTTCTCATCGTTGAGAAAAAGCTAATATTTTTCAAAGACATTGATGGCGATATATTATTATGGAAATAACTGTCAAGTATGGAATCTCCTATTTTGTGCTTAATAACAACCAGAGAAAATACTAACTGTTTGATTAGCTTTGATAACTTTTATTAAACTTTTAAACTAACTGTTACATCAACTAGATTCTAATTCATAATATGTGTTTAAATAATGGTGCTTTTACGAAACTGACGTAAACTTGAGGTTGCAAACCATATGAATTTATTTTTTAGTAATTTCATGGTTCTAACAACCGCCAAGAAATTTATATTATCGGACTATTATGAAAACAAAAAGTGAACCAAAGAGCATTATAATTAAAATAAGAACATTTCTGAGACGGTCTGAAAAACTGGTTTTTTAAATAGTATATTTTTAATTTGTACAAATAATAAGTTTTAATATATTTGTTTCGATAGAAACCTAGAAATAGAAAAAAAAAACATTATCAAAGTGAAAATGAAACTATTTAAAAACTAATAAACTGTAATAAAAAATGTCGGAATGATTTGTAGATTAGAATTTTAACCTATAAATACTAATTACTAATGACTTTTGCTTTAACTCTAGTTTATTTTAAAGAAGGCTCATATTTTAAAACGCCTAACCATGCATTATGGGATGAAAATCGAGATTTTATATTTCTTTTCCCATAGCGGTTCGTCACCGGAACAAACTTCCGGACAATTACGGACATCATCGAAAACCGGATTCTGATTCACGATTAAAGAACTTTGGATAAAGACATCCCTCAGTCCTACGGCCGTAAGTGTTAGTAACCTCCAGTAAACTGATGGGTATCTCCTACTGGGGAAGGAGTTTTGTGCATCGCGGATTTTCCTCGGAGAAAGGTTGTCAAAGTCTGCCGGTCACCCAGATAAGTACTCAATCACGCTTGGAGTTGCTTAACTTTATCTACTGTAAGTGCCTTAGTCTGTTTGGCCATCCCTGTTGTTTATAGAAAATTATGCCTCTATGATTTCAAATTGAGAGAAAGAGCTTTTTTTTTTCAATGTATCCTTACTTAGCGACAAGCAAAACAGATGGATTGCAATACCTACTGTTTCTTGGTTTAAGGTTTTCTCTAATATATCCTTTTTTCATCACAAGGAACAAATCTTAAAATGAAATTATGATAATTCAGGGTTTTTGACACATTTATAATCCACATCATGCCTGCCTTCTCAGTGATCAAATCCGATCCTTATTGTCGACGGAATCTTTAGGATAGAATTTTCGTTTATCTTCTGAATTTTTAGTAAATAAATAGATAGTCTATAATTTCTATAATGTTCAGACTAAATAATAAAATATAATAAATTGTTGTAGCTCGTAAAATATTTATGAAATATGATTCTAAACAAAAATTATTAATTTAAATAACATGAATTTTGTTCGACAAGTTCTTCGGCGCGCTTCCGCATTGATCTAGTGGACGACTAGCTTTACAAAACTAAAATACTCGAACTGTAATCTGTCTGTTTATTTACTTTATTTTTTTTTTCAAATCTTGTTAATTATCTTCGCATATTTTGAAAAAAAAAATCCATTCTTTCTTTAGATATATTCATAAGATCCTTTTAAAAGCAGAAGTCTTTATCTAGCTGGTCATTTATTTTTATGAACTTTTGAGATGAAATATGTCTCGCAGCCATTTGAAATTTTGTTTCATAAGGAAAAATAATGATACATATAAATCGTTTTGAAAATATCGTATAGTTTACAAATTCATACTACTTACTGTTGTCGATCAAGAACTGATGTAGGCTTAAGGAAGCTCTTTTTAATGAAAACATATTATAAAAACTAAAAACACGTATACACGCTCGCACAACTAATACGGAGTGATAAAAGAACTATGTTGACTCGCAATCTCGACTAGTGTGGGGTACACTGTCATTATCTCGTACTATATAGTCAGTGTCTCTGATTCATCTTACGTAATTTAGGCAGTCGTCATACGCACGAGGGAATCCACCACTAATTTTTAGAATTTATGGAAGGAAATATTCTACGGAAGTGACGTACTAATATATATACAACGGAAATGGCTTTTTATAATGATGTATGATTGACAAATACACATATATGTTATTATATATACACGCGCACACATTTATGTTTGTGTGTATATATATATATATATATATATATTTTTTTTTTTTTTTTTTTTTTTTTTAAACTTTGTTGGGACCACGATAATTGACTTTTTATAGAAATTTATCAATATTTTAAAAACTTAAAGAATAAAAAAAATTAAAAAAGATAATGAATAAAAGAAAACAGTTTGGAATATAGATAGTATACAGACGTGTATAACGCGGACCGGCATATATATGATTATTAATTATCGATCTCATATATTTATTTTAAAAAATGTGGTACACCACCACAATTTTAATGTTTGAAGTGCTCCATTAACGGATTTTATGTCAGTTCTTTGTTTGGATTTACAGTGAAGGAGAATTTATTATTATACAAAATTATTTCTTGAGTCATCAAGTGCATTATTTTAATTCATAAATAACTAAATTGAGAACAAATGGATTTTTTTATTATATTGATTGTTCCTTATTATCGAAATCTAATAGGATGTTATGGAAGAATTTACAGACATTCGAATAAGTTTATACAGTGTGTCTCGCAAGTAGAAGAAAATATTTAAAATAGTGACACTAAACCACACTAGCTACAAAAAACTTATATAAAAATTGGTCAGATTTTATGCAGAAAGGTAGGAAACTTATGGTTTATATATATCATAAATATCACGTTTATGGATGAATAGTAAGCATTAACTAACAAAAAAAAATTAAGTAATTGATAACAACTTTGTTTCTTATTATAACCTCTATTATAGGATCCGTAATTATAAGTGGCCAACTAAATGTTTCCAAATACTAATATGTACGTTAGAAATAAAGAAACCTACTGATTGCTTGAATTATTTTTATGAAAACGTAAATATTAGGATTAAGAACATTTAGTTAGTTGATTATAAGTACGAATTAAGTAATTAAGTAATTCTGTTATAGAGATATTAATAAAAAGCACACTAGCCTTATTAATTTAGATAAAAAATATTTGAAAAATCTTTATTTAGTTTTTTTATTAGTAAAGAGTGGGTGTATTTAGTTTTATTTGGGTGTCATGTGCAACAACAACGGTTAGAGGCACCTTAAAAGTGTATTTAAAATTTTATGTTTATTATTATACATCCTAAATAAACGAAAAAATAAAGAAATTAAAGCTTTTGGAATAATTTATTCTAGTCATTTTTGCTGAAAATTTGGGTACTTCTAGCTGACAGGACATCAAATCACATCATTTGTGGTTTATTATTTTCAATATTAAACCGTTGTAATCGACCATAAATTAAAAAACTTAACCCCCCTCAAAATTTGAAATTTTACGTTTGTGAATACTTATAACTCGAAAATCGTCCGTGGTTTTTGTCCGAGACTACTGGACCGATTTGTTCAAATTTGGAATAAGTCAGAGGTCACCCGAGTATGATCCTCGTATCTCGAAATCACAATCCACTCTTTACTTTGAAAATGGCGACCGAAAAACCTGTGTTGGTATAGACTGTAGTGCTTAAACGAATGTATGGGTTTCAATGAAACTTGGCTAAAGTCTTCTTCTCGAAGCTCTTTAAATTTATGTACATAACATACTTCACCGAATAGTACATTCCTATCAACATGGCTGCCGAAAAACCTGTACTGTATGGACTGTAGTGCATAAACGAATGTACTGATTTCGATGGAACTTGGCTAAAATCTGATTGTTTGAAGTCCTATAAATTTATCTATATCTTTCATAAAATCTATGTAAATACTTCACCGAATAGAAGCTGGAAAAAAGTTAGGAGGCCGGTAACAAAAAATAGAAAGAGTCCGTATTTTAAAAGTTTACGAAATTTCATTAAAAAAAATTTGGTTAAATTGACTCATATGGTGTGCTGCTAATCTCATTTCATTTGTTTTGGTTTTTAATTTTTGGAAAGTGTTACATCAATTAAAGCAATGTTGTCTTTTTTCACAACAAATTAGTAATTTTATTTAACAATTTATTAAAATTGGGTTTTTTAAATTGTTAATTTTTTAAATTAATTTTTATTATTATTAGATTATTTCGTAATTTTTTATTTTATTGTTGTTAATTCTATTATTTTAAATTATCTAGCATGATGAAGGTTTGATCAAAGACTGAAACCGATGCGCAGAAATAAAATAAGAATATATACAGGAAGTTTTTTTATTGAATTTAAATTTCAATCCTGTGACGTCAAGTCTCAATTAAAGAAATTATTAATGGTGAATAAAAAAATATTATTTGGGCCAATTTTAGGAATCGCCTTTTATTTATTTGACTATGAAACTAATGTTACTTTTGTTGTATAATTGTTTAGAAATAATAAACCATTGTATAGTAATTTGCAGCGTTTTTTGAGTCATCTTGAGAAGAAATCAACTTATGACCTCAACTTAATTCATATGGACTTAAATCTTCTTAAACAAGTAGGTTTTTCTGAAGTGTAGTAACTGTAGTACAGTTGAAAGGTGATAATTAAAAATCACAGATAATTAATGAATTTTTTTTTAACAGAACTCAAGTTAAATTAATCTATCAAAAAAATTATTAATAAAAATGACAAACACTACTTTAATTTGAATAAGTTTTGTCTATTTTACTTTTCAATTGCCAATTACTTCAGTTAAATATTTTTTTAGCTATCGTTTCATGATTTTAATCGAGCAGGGGATTCCAAAAAAAACTAGTAAATCTAGTGAGGATGTGCTTGACGGAGACACTCAATAAAGTTAGAATCGGTAATAATCTGTCGGAAAAATTTGAGGTTCGATCGGGTTTAAAACAGGGGGATTCCCTTTCGCCTGTACTGTTCAATTTGGCATTAGAACATGCCATTAGGGAGGTAATGCGTACCGAGAAAGGGTTGGATCTGGGCGGGACAACATCCGTTCTGGGCTATGCTGATGATCTGGTACTGTTAAGCGAAGACATTGAAACTATAAAGCTAAACACGACAACGTTAATGAAAGCCGGTAAAAAACGAGGACTCGAAATAAACGTGGATAAAACAAAATATATGGTTAGCTGCAAAAATGGCGATACTACTGGTGATATCGGTATAGATGGTAATATGTTTGAACAGGTAGATAAATTTAGGTATCTAGGTTCTACGATAACTAGAAAAAACGAAATTGAAGAAGAGATTAAGGTTAGACTGAAGGCAGGAAATGCTTGTTATTTTTCTGTGACAAAACTACTCAGTTCGCGCCTCTTGTCCCGGAACTTAAAAATTAGAATCTATAAAACAATTATCTTGCCTACAGTTCTTTATGGATGCAAAACTTGGCCGCTTACACTAAGGGATGAGCAGCGTCTTAAGGTTTTTGAAAATAAAGTATTGCATAGAATATTCGGACCGAAGAAGGATGAGTTAACCGGAGAGTTCAGACGGTTACACAACGCCGGATTGTGTGAACTGTATCCGGGTAATATAATTGAGGTAATTTCGTTGCGGCGAATCAAATGGGCTTGTAAAGTTGTTGGGCTTAGTAACGAGAGAATTCCTAAAAGATTAATATTTGCTGTGCCGAATTGTAAGCGTCCGAGGGGTAGACCGAAGCGAAGATGGGAAGATTGCATTAAAGCCGATCTGAAGGGACTGGGTTTGGACGGCGAACGATGGAGGCAGGTGTGCAATAAGCGATTGGTGGTGTCGGCATCGAACCTTCGGGTTCGTTAAGCCTTTTATTATTATTATTATTATCGTTTCATGAAAAAAAAGTGCCGTAATTTAAAAAAATAAACACAAAACTTATTTATATTTCTTATTTTCTGCGGACTATTGTTTATAAAAATTGTTTGTACACATATTCACAAAAAATTAATATCAAAAATATAGAGAATGTAAAATAGAATATAATCATAAAAAGTATTATGTATATTATGCGTTTTCTAGTTTCTCTCTATATAAGTTCTAATATATATATATATAAGTTCTAATATTTTATATATATAAGTTCTTATATATGTTTTATTTGTAAGTTCTAAAATATGGCTGTGAGACCTGGACACTAACCAGCATCCTAGAAAAAAGTATTGAATGCTTTGAGAAAAAAATCCTCCGCACGACAACCGGAACGATCTGGGATTAGAGTACTAACACATGGGGAAGAAAGAGCAATAAGGAACTGCTTACAGAAACTGGTCAATCAATATCCCGTGATACGAAGGCATGCGTGTTAAGATGGGTGGGGCATGTAGCTGGAAGCCACTACGTAAAAATGAATGCCTCAATAGAAGGAAAAAGACCTGTAAAGGCGGCAAAAGATCAACATGGTCTGTAATGACAACAGAAAAAATAAATAAAAGAAATTATGTAAGTGTATAAAAATTCATTATTTTTACCATGCTAATTAATATTTCTACTAATTAAAATAGAGAATAATTTCAATTATGATTGGATAATTATTGGAATTAACTCAGCATATTTATTCGTTATGAAGTTGGTAAAATAAACAACAGTATTTATTCGCAAAATTAAAAATTGCATTCTTATAATAATATAATCGTTGATTTATGGAAATTATATGAGAAAATTGTCTCTTACACATCTCTTATTTTTCTCCTTTTCTGTAATCATTGTAGAACGCATTGTACTGGTATTCCCCTCGTTTTATGAAGAATATGATGATCGGTAATTATCTTTGATTGGATTTGCAGTGAATTATTTCAGAATAATTATGCTCAGATGATTGTAAATTGCTTTTTGTAGTGTTGATAATCGATTTTTGGATAATTGTTTTTACAATATCCGAGAAAAAACTA